ATCACTGCTCAAGTTCAGACTTGAAACCAAGCCGAGCATGCTCTGAGTTGGAGGCAAGGTGCAGAAGAGCAGGAGGAAAACAAGCAGGCAGACCAACCCCATGCCAAGAGCCACTCACCTCTATCGTGGGGTCATACTCATCAACGAAATGGTTCTGAATGAGCTGTATCGTCAAAGCACTCTTCCCAACACCACCAGCTCCCACCACCACCAGCTTATACTCGGTCATCTTCCAGCCAACCCCAGTTCAGGACTTCCAGAAGCACCACCACCTGCAAGGAGAAACACAGACACCGTGTTAGGAGAGAGCATCCCTCCTCATCACCACCTGCTCTGCAGCAGGGCTGAGTGGTCAACTCCTTTTTTTGCTGGGAAAGGCAGAAATATGCAAAGCACAATCTCATCCCTCGGGTATCGAGCATTCCCAATGTTTCCTCTACGTCCCAGGAGCACCCAAATGCTACGAGCTAGAGACACCAAGGTCTGAGATACGGCACACAGTAACACAGAGACACCTAATTCCACAAGGCAGAGGTGAAGGGACAAACCCTTAAGGTTTTAACACTCTTTTTAGGTTGCTTGACCACAATAGGGATTGAGGATAGGACAAGGTAAACGCACTTCACTACTATTCTGCATGGCAAAGAGCCACCCCTTAATCCTTGGGGTGAAAACCAGCAAGGCACCACCAGGGATGCAATGTTCTTTTAATGTAGCTCTATGAACCTGTCCATAATATTGTCACACAGAGTATCCTGCTCCAGGACCACGCTGGCCTCTCGTCTTAAGCTCACAGACATAACACCCTAGTGAGCTTGGCCTGGAAACGGGGTGGGATAGCTTGTGGGCCACAAGGGTCAAAGGCTTCCTTACCTTCTTCCCACCCAGCACGCTGCCTACCGTGGGAATCTGGCCAGGGAAAATTACACTTCTGTCAGTCTGTCACCAGGATCTTTCTTTTGCTTTTATGGTCTGATGCTCTGTAGTCTCAAACATGAAATAGCCTCACCATGAAACCTGGTCTAAAAGCACAGCACAGAACTGCAGTATCCAGAACTATTTAACTTAATACTCTCCACTAGTAATTAAGGTTACTTTAAAATGGGCAAAATAAACCATCAAACTGAATACAAAACTACGTTTATCCCGTGATATGCTGCAATCCTTCAGCCTGATGGTCTGGATGCAAACTTCACAGATTCCCTGAGCTCATCTCAAGAGAGAAGGGAGTGTTACTGGTGAATAAAAACTAATCCCTAAGAAGTAACCAATTTTAGAGGTCTGGCTTTTCAGAAGAGCTCTGTACCGATTTGCCTTATCTCAAGCTAGCGATCCAAAATCATTACATAGATTTGAAAGCCTTGGCCAAAGCAGTTTGGATGTCAATGCCCTGGGAGTGGGGAAGAAGTGCCAGCTACCTCAAATACACTGTTAGCTCCCTGTCTTCACTCTCAAGGCTGTGTTAAACCTCAAACAACAGGGCAAGTTTGAGATGGTGGCACATTCCCACAGCATCCTCCTGGAAAAGCAGGCAGTCTGTGGCTTGGACAGCTGCACCTTCCCTGGGTTAAAAACAAACCACGCTTCTACAGAACCATGTACTTGCCACAGTCCTTCAACAGGAGCAAATTCATCCCTCCTCCCCACCTCCTCCCTTAAATTTCTGCTCCAACTCTGCTAAGAAAGAGGAACTTTAACTCAGGAAGATTACAAAACTCTGAAGGTTTAAATAGAAATCCACCCTCATTGGACTGAAATTCCTGTCCACTGCAAGTCACCCCAGGTTCAGATACTCATCTGCAGCCACCATCTGCAAGCTCTGGGGAAACCACCCGAACTGCAGTGGGTAGTGGGAAGACGAGCTCACAGCTCCCCTGGCCAGCTGCCATTTGCAGCAGCCTGCAACACCACTGCATGGGGATTAGACCCTGCCCCCCAGACACTTCATGCACTCCACCCTCCTCCTCGGGCTCCCACAACCCTGGAAGCTGGTATCAACTGTGCTGGCAACGGCCCCTCTAGACCCAGTCTGCATCTGATACATTTGCTAAGGCAGCAAATACCTAATGGAAAGGAGGCCAGAACATTCTGCCTTCAATCCCTACCTGACTGCAACCTTAAGCCACTCAGACAGTTCAATCACGCATTTGAGCTGGGAGCAGTCAGACACAAGCACCTCCCTGCCAAAGCCCTTTGCCGAGCTGCTCTTGGTAGCAGGAAGGCAACAAAGCTCATACCCTTCTCAGCATACAAGATCCTGAAGAAGGGCAAAGGAGGGGGTGCAAAAGGGCAACCAGAGAACAAACACAATGCCAAGAGGGACCTCTGGTTGCTGTGCCATTCTTCACTTCTGGACAAGCTGAAAGTCATTAAACATGATGGAAAAGGGATGATGGTGGGGGAAATGAGGTGCAAACAATGTGATACACTAGGTCCCTAACTGAAAGTGCCACTACTCCCCAGAAAAGTCCAATGTGCCTCTGTTCTGGCAGGTTGAAAACAAGGCTACAGGAGACAACCTAAGTGATCAAATTAATTGACCACACACATGCTGCTCTGCTCCATTAATGCATGCCTCTACATATATGGCTTCTCACATACTCTACTTCTCAGGGACAAAAGAGATCCACACCTCAGGCTTCTCATCTCTCTCAGATGGGAAGAGACAACTACCCTGAGGGACGGCGACAGCATTAAATGGGGACTGAGGAGCAAACTCTGGCTGACCATCTCCACCAACACTGCTGGCCAGGAAGGGTTCGCTCCTGCAGCAGAACAGCTTCACAACTGAAGAAAGGGGTCTTGAGGGTCTGAAGAAACTCTGCAACCAGCTCCTATCTTTCATGCAGAGCAGGGAGATCTGCAAACCCTAGCAAAACGCATGGTGGCTGCAAATAAAGACCTGCAGTGGCTGTAATGAACCTTGCTCTTTATCTGGTGCTGATGGTGGAGCAGCTGCCACAAGGATGCTCAAGGAGAACTGCATAATCATCCAGGTCTATGTGACCTGCTAAGGCAGTGAGAAAAGCCTAGACTCAACACGGGGAGGAGAAGAGATGAGTCCTTGAGGAAGGGGGTCCTCCTTCAAGACCATCTCAGTGGAAGGCACTGCTTGGCCTGTCCCTTCAGAAAACCCACAGCCCACGCAGCCACACAAGCCTCCTGATCCACAGAAGGTGGGGGCTGAGGCAATCATCCACAGCAACTAAAGGGTCCTTCCCTGCTCTGGACCCCAACTGAGCCACTGAGCTCTGCTGTGCAGCAGAGGCACAACCACACACCAACACATCAAGCACTCCAGCCCAGAACTTGAGCTCTGGATCCCCCAGAGAAACACACATCCTCATCTCCCTGCTCACACCCACCCAAGCGGCAGGCGAAACAAACTACTGCGACCCACCACTCACGGCCAGAACACAGATAATTCATATACACAAACTCTCCAATGTTGGTGTTTACTCACTCACACGGTACCTAAAAGGTGCTGGTGCTTCGGCTAACTCTTCACCACTCTGCATGCCACTCTTGCCCTGGCAATGGCAGGAGATTCTGCAGCTTGCAGAGGATGATGAGTCCAGCCCACGTGACTGCTTCATACCACCACTGTAAAGTGTGCCCTGATGTAGAGTGAGAGTGTGAGGAATGATGGAGAGCTGCCTGAACTAATGTGTGCTAAAATCAATGTTCAGACGAGCTCGCTTCCTTTCCCAAAGGATCCACGATGCAAGCTCTTCACAGGGAGCACGCAGACCCAACCGTTCACCAGAGCACATGCAAACACCACAGGAGAAGGATGGCCAAATGTTGCAGGGAAAGCAGGGATTTCCATATGGCCAAGCTTTGTTACAGAGTTTGGCAACTGCTCTTATTCCTAAATTGACCTTAACACCATCTCACAGCTCCCCATTACACTCTTTGCTTCTGAACATGGGAAGAGCAAGGCTGCTCATCGATGCACACACAGGTTCTGATGCAGGGTGGCTGTTCCTCAACACCATATGAACATCACCAGCACTACAAGGGCTGGTTCAAGGAACAGCCATCCCAAAGACAATGTATCTGGCCCTCCTTAAAAACAGAGGCAGGGAAGAGAGAGCAGGGCTCCTGCCACAGAGATGGTATCAGACACCCCAAGTTTTCATGCTAAGGCTGGGGACACAATGGACACAGGTTTACAACCTGTTGGTTGCTGTGAAAGCTTCTCCTGATGTGAAGGGTTTCCAGAGGAAGATAAACAAGAGCTTCTACTTCTCAGCAGCTAACGCAGAGTCCAAACAGAGCTGCTAAGGCTGGGGACACAATGGACACAGGTTTACAACCTGTTGGTTGCTGTGAAAGCTTCTCCTGATGTGAGGATTTCCAGAGGAGGATGAACAAGAGTTTCTACTTCTCAGCAGCTAACGCAGAGTCCAGACAGAGCTGACCACAAAATAACAGAGGAAAACACGAAAGCACAGCCTCCGAGTCTCAAGTGAGCAGGAACACTGCTTCTTCCATCCTCTGCAAACTCTTTCAGATCTGAAAGCCTGCCCCAGGTCACCATCTGGTGCTCTCCCTGCCTGTCCAAATTTATCACCTCTGTAGTACTCAACTGTTACATCCCCAAAAAAGCCACACAGGGCTGTCAAACAGCTGAGCGAGATGGCGAGGCAGAGAGCCATTCAGGAGAACTGTCTGGGAAGAGGAAGGCTTGGATCCGTGTAAAAAGCCAACAGACCCAGCGTGGAGCTGGAGCTGCTGCTGCTGTATTTCCTGACCTCGTGGATTTTCTCCCGCAGCGAGAAGGCTCCTGGCTCCCATTCAAAGCTGTCTAGGAAAGCCTCACTGAGTGCTTCCGCCTGGCAGCAGCAGTTGCTTCCAGCCCAGCAGCTGGAACCACACAGCTCCAGAAAACAAGAAACATCTGCCAGCCTTGTCAGGAAGCCAGGAGAGCAAGAACCCAACCCTGATGGGCACCATCATCCTACCTTTGTCTTACAGAGGGGTTGAAGATGTAGGTGAAAGCAGAATGCGTATCTCCTTATCTTCTCCCCTGCCTGTGCATGCCGGGCAGCGCGAAGGCTCTGCCCGCAGAAGCAAGGACCAAGAAGCTTGGCACGAGCTTTCATGGGACCAAGACCTAAAGCAGATGTAAGCATCAAGGTTACAGGTGATACCCACGGACCCAGCCATGTCCTGCAAAGAACAACCTCACGTTCTTCACAGTCCCTCTTCTCCAGCACAGAGCTTCATCTGCAGGGGTAGAGGTGGTTTCGGGGACCTGACTGTGAAACCTC